CACCACTTGGTATGCATTTATGCTATTTCTGGCAAGCCATAAATCTACTTCGAACTATCAGAGTTCGATGCTTAGTAAATTGAGTAAGTAAATAATATAGAGAAATAATCAAAAGAAGATCATTGCGTCTTTTCAAATTGTTTTATTTTATTTAGCTTGATCATGGTCAGTGTTATATTTTTATTGCTTCCACTTAATGTTCTTTTGGTCCACTTTCTATTCCCTTTTAAGCAACAAATGAAGCTATTAAGTAAAGTATACTTAAAAATTGGCACAGAGATTGACATTATTTATTTGAGAAGAAATGTAGGAAATCGCTATTAATTTATGCAGAAATTAAAAGGACTTTTGCCAATATGAAAAAGCGTGGTTCATAAGGATACCATGTAACAGAATTCGAAACCAATAAAATTACTTCCACATTAATGCGAAGAGAGTGGGAAGATTTACGAGACTACCAGGAACAATAGGAAATGTTTAAAACCCTCGAAGAACTAGCTGAATGTAAATTCTTGTGCTATCTTGTAACTGTCTTGGTACAAATATTCTAGATTCTAGGATGCGTAATTCATTTTCCTATCTTCTTCCTCTTCCAGTTGGCGGGCAATAGAATGTCCATAAACCAAATGGGTGGACGTATCTCGGACGTACGTGACATTTTCAGACCGTAATGCGCCCGATAAGAACAGGAGGTGTTGTCTAAGAAAACGACTGAAAACGGCATGTTTACGTGACAGTAGAATGTTTTGTGTCGTCGGCGAATCAAGATTATAAAGAAAAGACACAAATGGTGTTGGAAGACACTAGAAAAAGATTGCTCGTTGTAGGGCGTTTATAATTCACAATGGTTTTGCCCAGGGGACGCATGGGTTTCACTCTAGCTGAGGAGAATTGCGAATGTTTTACTCTCAAAGAAGCGTTTTAAACTTTACTTGAAAATTGCAGATAGAAAACTGGTTGCTTAATGAAAGAATTGCGGCATCTTTGAACGCTAATTTTGCCTTTCTCTCCAGGAACGCGAACACTTGCCTCTTAATTATTACTGATATGTGCACTTGATTTTGCCATGCTTGATTCATCCTAACTATTTCGCGTGTTTTTTCTCATCTGCATTTCTAGGAAAGTTTTTAATTGAGCAAAATACCAGAGAAAGCATTAGAAAGAAAGATTCCCATTCACAGTTTGGCATAGCATGCATCAAAGTCATCCATATATGCTTCATAGGTAAAAAAAATCTATTTTCAGCGTACCTTTTGTCCAATTATATTCTTCCATATACACCAAATTTAACGTGGGATCTGTTGGAAACAATGGTGAAAATGCCGCTCTTACTAAAATCAAATGCAAATTTAAAAGGAAACCTAACAATGGAGCGCTTCGACGTGTGGTCCACGTCAATTTTTACCATGTGGGAAGTGATTTTCTGTGCTAGGTAGTCTAGTTATACCATTAGCTAATATAGATTTAGTAGAAACACTGAATTGATTCATTCCATTACCAGCTATCATTGCAAGTGCCTTTTTGTAAATGTTATAGGAACGAAAGTTACCAATGCGATTTTCTACCGTTGTTATTAGCTTTTTGCATATCGCTCTTCGATAATTTTTGTGCTATTATTACAATATTTACATCGCATTGTTTTCAATGCGTGATGAGAACTGAAGCAAGAGTTTGCCCCCATCAGCATAAAAATCTAGTTTGCAAAGAACAGATGCTATCCGCTAATCCAATTATCAGTAATCAATATTGCTGTTTTCATTAGTATAATATTTAAATATGGAAATTCCACTTAGCCATTTTCTCTTATTTAGCATACACATTTATTATCGACATCTGAACTCGATCAATTTGACTTATAATCTTCGATGAAATCATTGGTTCTCATGAGAACTTTAAGGAGAAATTTCAAATCAAATATGGTCTTTGGATGCTTGAATGATAAACATTTACCAAAAAATTTAGGAAAATGATTTTCTTGCTTTACTAATTTGGTCTGTACACAACGCGTCACTACCAAGTCGATTTATAGGAGTTTAGGAGCAGTAAGTTCTTGAACTACGGCTTGAATGTATTGAAACATAACTTTAACCAGCGGTTAAAAAAAATCTAGAAAATCAATGGGTTCCCTGAACTAATTTCAATACTTCGCACTTATTACATGAAATTTCCCCAACTAGCGTATTAAGTATCGGCAGTTTGCATAAATTCCGGAGCTATGAATTTATACCGTTAGAGTCTAGTTAGTTCAAATGATTCCAACGATTTAACCAACTTTAACCAACGATTTAACAAAATCTAGAAAATCAGTGAGTTCTTTGAATGTAAGACAGCTTTGTGCACTTTTCTCCTAGGGTTTCTACTACTAATAACAAAACGTTCAGATCTTATTTCCATAAGTTTGAGCATTAATCATTTTGGAAGGAATGTGAATTAAATGGAACATTATTTTAACCAGCGGATAAAAAAATTCTAAGAAAATCAGTGGCCTGTCTGAACTAATTTCAAATCGGCACATTTGTCAGCTGGAGTTTCCGCTACTAATATCTAAAATTTGAGTCTTTTTTGGAAAAGTTTAAGAGTTATGACTTTTTTAAGCAAGGTCTGAAATTACTTACAATGAAACATTACTTTTCACCATTGATTAAAGTAATTCCAGAAAATCAGGTGGTTATATGAAATCATCGGAATTTTATGCACATGCCACATCGGGTTATTTAAACTTCAATCCTGATTTTGGGAATTATTCGATTTTTATGGAAATGTATATATTTATTGAATCGTCACTTTAACGAACCGTATGAAAACTCTAGAAAATCAGTGAGTTAATTGCAGGTATGCGCACTATTTCTTTAGGGCTTCCTCAACCAAGAATAAAACGTTCAGGCTCTTTATTTGCGTAAGTTCAAGAATTATGAATTGTTAAAAGAGTGCCTGAATTCAATGGAACAGTCTTTTAACCAGTGGTTAAATAATAACTTAATCAGCGTTAAAATCAGCAAAAAAACTGTGGAACCATGGAATTTATTTGGACTTGGCCCTTTTGTCAGTTGGGGCATCTGCTACTAAAGTATAAAATTTCAAGATTCTAGTTTTACGAGTTTGTTAATTATGAATTTTTTAACGAATGCCTAACTTGAATGAAACACTAATTTAACCAGCGGTTTAAAACCTTCCAGAAAATCGGTGAGTTTCCTGAAATTGCAAATCTGTGCACTTGTGAGGAAGGTTTTTCTGACCAACATCAAGAATTTCAGTCCTTTGTTTAGAGTTTAAAATTTTTGAACGAATGGCTGAATTGATTAAAACATTAATTTAACCAGCGGTTTAGGAAATTCTTAAAAATCAGTTGATTATTGGAATTAGTTGCAACTGTACACACTTTTCGCCTAGGATATATTCTACTTACATCTCAAAATGCAGTCCCTTTTTTTGAACAAGTTTGAAAATTCAAAATTTTCGAAGAATGCCTAAATTTACATAAATATACTTTTAGCCATTGATTTAAAAAATCCCAGAAAGTCAATGAGCTACTTGAATTAATTGCAACTTTGTGCACTTATTACCCAAACCTTCATCTACCAAGGTCTAAAATGTCAGCCCTTTACGTTTACGAATTTGGAAGTTATGGATTTTTGAACAAACCCCTGAAGTGTCCATCGAATGCCTGAATTGAATGCTACAGTAATTTAACCAGCGGTTTACAATTTCACATTTTTTGTTGAACCAGTTTTGTGAGTTATGAATTTTAAAAGAATAACTAATTTTACTTTTAAGTATTGGTTTACGAAATTGCAGAGAATCAGTGGGCGGCTCGATTTAATCGCATTTTGATGCAATTTTTCTTTAGTATTTCTTCGACAAGCATCTTAAAATTGCAGCCCCTTGTTTGCATGAGCTTAGGAATTGTGAATTTCTGAAGGAGTGCTTGAATTTACGAAATTATTTATTTGCGCCATTAGTCTTTGTTTATAAATTAAATAAATTTGCCTGCAAGCAATATATTCTTTATTCGTTCGCCTTCACTTACATAAATCACCTATCGCGCGTGCTGGACGTATTTGATTACTGCTCCGGTAGAGTTTTTCCTTTTAATTTGAACATAAGGAAGTAGAAATTTACTTAGAATTTAATTCAGTAGACACGAATACCATGTCTACAATCCAGTTTTACTTCTTTGTCGAGCATTTTACACCACAGATACAAATCTTCGCTTTAGAATAAATAATTACGTAGGCTAGTATTCTTGACAGTCGTACAACACTTTCAGACAACTATTTCTAGTTCTCGTTTCCGATTTTTATTGGCAGATTAATTTCCTTGTTTAGAGAGATATGGAGCTTACTTGCGGTCTTAGTTAAGTACATGCATAATTACTGAAAAAGTATGCAAAATTATATTCCGGGAAGATGACAATGTTTTAAATGCTTCATGCCCCTTAATGGTTTAGTACTAATAAATGTTTTAAAGCCGTTAAATTGTCATTGATCCCCACATAGCTCTTTCGGGATTTTATATTACAATGAAACTGAAAACAATTTTAATTAGCTGATCTGATTATAAAATTCCTGACACTCATTCCAGCAGCAGTTAATAAATCATTCCTGTCAAAAAAGACGGGATGGTGTTATAAATGGGCATAACGGATGATTCGAAACTACCTGACACTGTTAATGACTTCTTAATATGCTTTTGAAATACACTTTGAGTTTTTGTCATATTCACTCACATATAAAGCGTGAGTATTAAGGTTGTTTATGCTGCCTAACTAGATAATAAAGTCACATCATTAGCGATACGGTTTTGTTCGTTTTTTTTGTTTTGGCAAGACGTTATTGTCATCATCATTAGGTGGATCGTTAAGACCTAAAGTGCATGAGAATGTGTGTAATTTATTAGACAAAATTTCATTAGAGGAAGATGAGATTAATAAGTGCGAGATGAATGAAAAAACTTTCCTTCCACTGCGCTGACTTGTATAGTAATGAGCCATTTTTTTGCAGTTTCTGAGGTTCTTGGGCGGTCCCCCGATGTCAACGGCGGACGCGGCTCTTAGCTTTTTGCACCCTGCCTGGCTACCTCGTTGCCGTCCTTACCTCCTTCCGCCACCTACCATCATGAGAGAGAAGGATTCATCACCAAGGAAAATGCTGGTGGCACAAAGCGGCCATTCATCACCTAAACAGGCAGCCGTTTATCCATTATCGGTAAGCGATTTTGCATAACAATTCAATCACCATCAAAAATGTACTAACCGAATAATAGCGCAACAAATGACAAAAACTGAACTCGATCGATGAATATTCAAACCATTTAATACATCCGCTTTTTTACAATGCCTAAACCGATCACTGAGTGAAGACTGCAAGAAGCTCTTCCTTTCAGATATGCCCAATTTATCACTTAAGTTGAATCTTCAAGCCAAATTCTTTATCCTGTTTTTTCAATATTTGAGATCCCTTCTTATATAGAATAGTGAAGCAATTTATTCAGTGGCGCGATGAAGGCAAGGCCCAAAAATCCTCAAAAACATACAGTGGCAAAGAGAGTACAAAATTAGAAGTTTACTATAAACAGAAGATTTCACATGGTGTTGAGACCTAAGAAAAGCGAAAGATTGGTAACGCTGTATTTAAGTGAGATTTTTATACTCAACTTATTAAAAACTATTAAACTCTAGAACGTTTGATTCCTTCAGAAAAAAAAAACGTTTTAATCCACAAGGAATATATATTGAGTCACAATTAAGAAAAGTTTCCTATCCATATATGCGCGACAATGTATGTTCAGGCGATCCTATTTTCCACACTTTTGTCGATAATCGAAATGAGCAAATAAAACTCAATTAAAGCACATTAATAAAAAAGACGCGAAACAGAACAAACCGAATTCCACACGTGAATTCAACAGTAAATATTTCGAAATGTATTGTATGTTTACAACTAACTATTTTTCTTGCAGGTGAGGGTGCCACCACCTGAAGAGGCACCATTTGATCTCAGTAGAAACACCAGCAGATCATCGCCCGGTCCACACATGAGTCCGGCAGGGCGACCCAATGAGCACCAGGGTGAAGAACAGCCCCTTGATTTAAGGGTGGAACATAAAAAGCTCAGCTTAATAATAATGAGGCGGCAGGTAAATTGCCCAATTCCGTTAAAACATGAATTGATAGCTACATTGCCGGTTCCTTGGTTGCAGGTTGAAGATGAAAACCGAAACATCATATCGCCAACGCCGAGCACATCAAGCGAAAAAGAGGAAGTTATAGTTGAAGACCGTTCCTCGCCACCTACACCTAATATTCCTAAGCCTCCGTTTTCGCCGCAACTGCCCGCATACCCTGGCATGTTATTTCCACCTCAGCCCATCCATCCTATGATGCTTGAAGCGATGTATCGAGCTCAGGGCGGAGACAAAGTGCCTAGATTATCGTTACCTTATGCACCATCATCTGGTTATCCACAACGATACCCGTTTCTAAGTCCAAACATACTTAGTCCTCCTGTAAATAATGTTCCTTTTGATATGTTAAGAAATGCTCCAAATGCACCGTCCACGCCGAAAGTGTTTGACCCAGCTAGCGGAAAACCAAAAGACCGATATGCTTGTAAGTTTTGTGGAAAAGTGTTTCCTCGAAGCGCGAATTTAACGAGACACTTACGAACGCACACTGGAGAACAACCATACAAATGTAGATACTGCGAAAGGAGCTTTAGTATATCCAGTAACCTACAGAGGCATGTGAGGAATATACATAATAAGGAAAAGCCATTCAAGTGTCCGTTATGTGAGAGGTGTTTTGGACAGCAGACAAATTTGGATCGTCACCTGAAAAAGCACGAAGCTGATGGGCCAACTATTTTGGACGAGAGGAATCTTCAGCGAAGGAACTTCAGCAGAAATATGAGCGAGGAGTCATATTTCGAAGAAATCCGGTCGTTTATGGGGAAGGTTACCGATGGAAGACTTCTCCAGCATTTAAAGCCTGGCGGAAACTTGCCCAACTTTCCCCTGTCCTTACCCTCCAAACTTTTCGAGTCTAGCAAAACCCACGAGACGGAAAAATCCATAATTCCTTCCGAGGAAATGAAAAGGGACTCGTCATATTTTTCGGATAAAGACAACTATTCATCCAGGTCCTCGACAAGTTCGGATGTGTCGCACAAAGACGAAGACGTCACAATGAAAAGTGAAGACGTGAAGAAGCAGGACGACGAGGATAGCAACAACAACAACAATGGGGGTAATACATGATTAACGTAGACTTACCGACTGTGATAGGGTTTCAAAATTTGGTTCTTTTATCGATTATTCCACATGCGCCAAGAACCTTTCTGCTGCGTTGTTCCATAACGAATTATTGTGATAGTTTGAATTGCCTCGAGCATAAAAACGTGTTCGAAAGAAAATCGGTTAGTTTAGTACTGAATGATTAAACTTTATTTTCAAGGACTTACACTATTCGATGAGCGCGGCGTATAAATTGGTCAAAATGCTCTCGAGGCTCTCACCAATTGTGTCTTTTTTAATGACCTAAATCATCTTTACCAAACGAAGAATACCGGTTAATTTTTGTGACATTTCATTAGCCTTGTATGCACGGTCTATTTTTAGTACTTCCCTTTTAAGGTAAATGCCAAAACACCTACTTTAAGTTAAACAACGTATTTCTGTACGATTTTACAGGGGCGATTGTTCTTAAGCAATTCGAGTACTTTATTGGAATGCTTTTCGGATGGTATCATCCAAAATGCTAAGTAGCCACTAAAATGGAAATTTTCACATACATTCCAGTGGAAGATTTTTTTAATTAATTTTTTTTTATTTTGACGAAATAATTGAAACAGAAATGGTTTTTGTCTCCGCAACATAAAGCAAGACTCCTCGCTTCAAAAGTGTAATTACGGCGATAAGTGATCTTTTACGCAAAACTAATTTACTATAATTATTTTCTGATAGTCGATACACTTGACTAATGATACTTAAATTCGCCGAAATGCTTACTGATGCTTTTTGCGCATTCCAATATAAAATAATGCTTTAATTAACCTACTTTTCATTGGTGTGATCGCACGATAACCCAACAACTCAACCGTAATTTTCATTCTCGCCTATATCGATATTATTCGAAAATTAAACATATCGTCAATTATTCAATTAATTTGGTTTTACTGATTTATTGGGCGCAGCCGTCTCAATTACAAAACTATTGACTTCTGCTGCATTCCACGCTAGACCTTTGACCAGGAAATTTGCAATGTTAAGTGTTTCGAGATTGCACTAAACTAGTTAATTAAAGCAATTTGCCCTTTGAAGCTGCAAATTTACAGTAATTTCAAGAAATTTTAAACATTCCTTTTCAAATTTATATCAAAGTTCGTCGATTTGCACTAAAAACTGGTGTCTTACAGCGATTTAAATTAGATTCATTTATTGAATTGCTTGAAACAAGGACGAAAATTACCTAAATTTTAAGTTGCAATAAACGAGAATTGAAGAATTGAGCAACTTGGTCAAATTTACAAATAAGAAACCAATTGATTGTTGAACTTAAATTTAATCCACTTTTAATTAAATACGTTACGCAAATTTGGCTATTGGACCAATGACGGTCAAATGAATCAAGCTGTTACTTCCTTGTGCATTATAATTTGAAAAGCAATGTACTGCGGTAAGATCTCTTTGAAGCTAATTTTCCAGCAAGTGTTTATACAAATATAAATTTATTAGCCCAACTTCATAAATAATAATTTCCATCTACATTATAATTCCAATTTCCTTTAATACTAATCTGCCAATGTACGTACTCAGTTGAGTTTGCCGATTACAATTTTAATTGTAATTTTAATTAAAATTGGTTCTTATCGAAATCTCACCGGAAATTGGACGTTATCGTCAGAGAACCATATATTACAAAGAATAAAATGTGAAAGCGTTTTATACAATTGAACCAAAATACCAAAACAGTAGAAACGAAAAATCTTGGCATAATCTCGAGCGACAAAAACTTATTAAACAAAAAGTAGATCAGAAATAAAAATATGTAACCACAAACACTATCACTTTCCATCAGAAGAATCACTTTCCATCTGCAAAACAAATAATTGACAGACACCTGCATCAATTAAATAGGCAAATGCTACAATTAGGTTTTGGTCATCTTATTTTGCTCTTAATTGGCACGGAAATTATACCAACATTCCTACATTTATATGGTTTTTGCCAACTTTCTCCTGTCGTTGCAAATCTTCCTGCTTCCATAGAGCAGAAAAAAACGACTATAATGCAATCTGAACAAAATATGCAATAAAGGAATTTTGTTCCATCGCGGTTGACTTCATAGAACTTGCAATAGCACAAGACGACTGAAAACACAAAAAAGATGAATTGTAGACACGCAAAAAGGCTGCAGGTAAGATGAAAGTGATTCGATCAAGCGTAAAATAAGTGGAAAGTAATTTTTAATAAATCGATTTGCTAAAATAAGTAAAACCTTTGCAAATGGACCGTTTACTTTATGTTATCGGCGGCGGCCTGTTACATACATCTCGATAGGGTTGGGCGGAAGTCTGTAATCTGGGTTTCAAAATCTTCAAATACTATACAAGTTGATATTCTTTGATGATGATACAGTTACGTTAACGAATTCTATGCGTATACAAAAGTTTTTCCACATTGTTATGTACTTGGACCACCATTAAAGACTTTATTAATTTGCATAATTTCTTCAAATTTACCAAACAAAATCAGTGGCAATTATCTCGCAACCGATACTAGAATTTCTCAGATCCAATTGTATACATGCAGCCTATAAATTGTCAATTACATTCTGGAAAAACGCTCCTCATGTTTCATTACTTTAGTACTTTTAATTAAGTAAATCGTTCGCTGTGCATTTGTTGAGCCTAATAAGGCGTTTTGGATCGATTATTTACTTCCTAACTGAATTGATCGGATTTTATGGGCTATAATGGAAATTTTTTGGATTTTTACTCCTTAGATTGTAGAAGATTCAATCGGCCATTTCATCTAGTGCAACATTTAATGAGAATGTGGAGAAATTGTGTTGATATAAATTAGCCATTTCTACGCTTCAGAACGTAAAGCCATTTAGCGAAGAAGAGAGATCTTTCCAACATATTAACGATGTTTTTGGTGAAATAAGCAATTAAACAAAAGGAAAATTTTTGAATAGCAAACAAGCGTTTATAGAAGCTACCGATAATTTTTAAGTAGTACACCTGATAACTCCTAAATAATAGAGCTGAAAAATATCTCATTATGTGAATGAAAACGAGTACAATAGTTTTCATTATTGATGTTGTTTATAAAGCGCTGATGTACCTGTCCATGCAACCATTAATTCAGCAAGAAGGATTATGAAATATCTGCTGGTAATTGGCCTACTCCCGACTACTAAATCTGTTTAATAAAATACTCGTATTGTTCTGAATTTCACTGTATGGGCAGAAAAAAGTAGGTCATACACTGATATTCATTAATCAAATGTTTTGGCTTTGTTGCATGAATATTGAGCCTACAATGGTTTCAAGTCATACAAGTATTTAGTTTTTTTTAATTACTCGATTAAAATACGAGTGGGGTTTAGCATTAGATGGATCTATAGATTCAGATGTTTCCAGCACGAATTAACATATCTGGACTTGCTAGTGATGGCTAATATTTAATCTTATTTCGAAAAGCTGAAAAATGAACCATTCATTTAGATGGGAAATTTTATGTAACGATGATAATTTGCATATTGAAGTTGTTCAGTTAGTGTCATAGAAAAAGTTCTTGCTTCCTTACAATTACTTTTATCTCTATTAATTCTTCATTACCCTTATAAAATATTTTTCTTCAGTTTATCAAATGAATTCTAGTTCTTCATCTATATCCATTATTTGCTCATTTCTTTCGATTTATCTATGTTCTCTTTCTTTTGAAGCCTGATCAGGCAATTTCCTTCTCCTATCTTCAGCGTTTCATTTTCATGCATCTTATTCTTTGAACATTCATGCGTTTTTTGCCACCACTAAAGTCATCTCATTGTTATCAGTCCTATTATGAGTATCGCTTTTACTTATTTCAAATCATATTTATCAAATTTGTTCGTTTATGACAATTTCCAAATTCTAGTTATTTTCTTAAAACTGACTTCGATATTTAATCAGCTAAATCTGCAAGAGCTACAAAAATAAACATCCACTCTCATTTGCGTTGGTAACTTGATGTCACCTTTATGCAACGATTATAATTTTCTCATCCAAGTAACAGTTAACCGATTTGCTCAGGTAGTTTATAGCTTTATAGAAAATGTTTCTTTTCCAACTGCTTATTTGCGTTGGGTTTATTTAAAGTCAGCCGATCGCAAGACTGTTCATCTACATGGTCACTCTACTCTCCGGTCAAGCACAAAATGAGCTGCAGAATGTTATGAAAATTATCCTGCCATTTCAATTAAAAATATATCAGTTAAAGAACTTTTATTGTTTGTCTTGCAGTTTTGAATTCTCTTGGGAATTTGTCTTTCTCCCTATATTTTTTGATTCAATTAAAACAGATTTTAGAAGAGAACCTAAAGGTGAATTTGCCTGGGTACTCTCTAGAACCGTTCATCGAAACTTTGATTACGACGGCATAGATCAGTAGTACCCAAAGGGCAATAAGCAGTTACGCCACGGTACCACCCACTTCCTGGCCCGTCGCTAGACCAGATCGGGTTCTGCGGGCACCCAGTACCGGGTTCCAGTTTGACGTATGACCTCTAGTTACTGCTCGTTGTGGTACGCCTTTTCTAACACGACTGATGATGCTTTTAGCCATCGGCCGCAATTGGAATAACAATACGCGCATACCGCCACAACATTGAATGGGTTTCAGTACCGCACAATTAATGAGGAACTATTGGTGTTATCTCATGTTCAATGAAATTAATTCAAAACTAATCAATCATTCCGTTCCTTTTGATTTCGTGCTTTGATATTTCTTAACAATCTGGCTAGTTTTGTGCGCACTGTTTATCTTCATCTTTCCTGCAGCAATTTTCTTCTTCTATAGCACGAAGACATTGTTTAGGCATCATTTTACTCTGCGTCAGCGTTATTTTCGCCATATTCACTTTAGCTAACTAATAGCCTATTTAATTTTTCATTTTTTTTTTGGCCAGGAAGCTTTGCTCTCTACATGCATTGGGCCATTATTTAGCATATTATACCTTTTTTCCTTTACTTTACCTCGTGATCATTTATTGCCTTTGGCAGTCAAATCATAATTCGCTTTATATGTGCGCCCAGACTTTCTAAAGGTTTTAAGAGACATTTTATGTTCTTCCAATATCCATGTTTTACGTCTGCCTATTTCCCAATCAACATTTTTTCTTGTCTATGCCTGTTATTCTGGACTTCTGTTCTCTATTTCGTCTTCATTTTTAAATCTAACATTTTACCCTGCCCTTAGTATCTATATTAAATCTTATCTATTTCTCGATATCTGTTTTACGAAATATATTCTATCGCTTTTACACATTTTGTATTTCCATCTTCACATTTTCACTTATTTTACTGACGCAAAGTTTTTCTCTTTCCGGTCTTGATCCGGTAATTTACTGCTCTCTTTTTTACCGCCACTATATTTCTCTTGGATGTATGTAAAAAAGATGCTTCTGCTTCCTAATTTTTCAACTCATTGTGTATCCTGTTTTCTTCTACCGCAAGTAACGTTTCTACTTCAAAACTAACTTACTACCTTCTGTTCTTGAAAACTTCAAAAACCAAACATTAATTTGGATACGAAATTTTATGTAACGCTGATAATTTGCATTTTTAAATTAAAGTTAACCAACTTGCTCAGGTAATTTGCATGAAAAGTTGTTTTTAAAAAAACTTATTTTTCCTCTTTCTGTTTACGAAATGTCTTCTATTTCTGCGTCTCTTAACCACTTCACTTCGTCTATTAACTTAATACTTTTGTATATCCGATCCTGATCTGGCTCTTTTTCCGCTTGTACAGTTCTGTTGATTTTAAAGTGACCTGACCTTTTGCTTCCTAAACTTGCAACTTATTGTTCTTGTTTTCTTGTACTCCAACCAATATTTTTACATCGAAACTTCTTTACTACCTTCTGTACTTTCAACTACTCATTTCCTGCCTTCGCCATAGTTAACTAATATTCTCTTTCAATTTGCCACAGATTTAACAAAAATTTTCATTGACTATTGCCAAACCCAATACATTAACCTTCACTTTCATCTACTTCTTCACTGCACTTAACTACTTGACAGTAATTAATTGAAACAAAAATAATCCTCAAGTGCAAAATATTACTAATAATTCCAGTCATAAAGTATCGGCGTTAACCGCTAGCAGACATCATTATTTCTAAAACTCTCGACACCAACAAAAGCATCACAAATTACCCAAGTAGTACCATAACAACATAAGTACTACCAATAATTACCGGTAAAACACGTGCCTAATAGAATTATTAACAAGAAGTTAAACACTTGTAGATCCATAAAAGAATACAATTGTCAATTGTACGAGAGCTGTATGAATAAGATTGCCTGTTTAAAACCGACTTTGTATAGTAAGCACCATTAAAAGAAGATAAATAGATATCTTCAGAGGAGTGCTATTAAATCAGTGATGGAGTCGTGTTTTTCACCATTGTTGGCATAGAAGCTAAGTACCTGTTGAATTTTATTTGAGCTGTAGCCTTGATTGGATTATTAAAATTTATTTGTTATCCTTGTATCTCTTCTTCTGATATTTCGTTCTCTTTTCGCTTCGTTTATTATTTTGTAACGGTAGTTATTCAAATAGTGCTTGCAGCATCAGTGCTCTTTGTTAAACATGGGATTTTTCTTATCGGTCTTGGGATATTTGTAACTGATTGAAAATCGTAACAACTTTCCATCAGGCGGTAAGTAAGTATTGGCTAGAGCGATAATGTTACACATAGTCCATACAGTTGAAAATCTCTTCCACTAACCAATTACTTAACACCAATTAAGATTCTGAACAACAACGGTGACTAAAGATGAGCAAAACAATCAGTCAGTATATTCTTAAAACGCTTCTAATTAGATGAGTGTTACGTTAATGTAAAAAAGAATGAGCAGATTCATTCATTAAACAAACGAGTATAACACTTGCTACTTAACGTGTTTTTTCTACATTTATGGCATATTTTTCTAATGACTACAACGCATTGACGCACCTATCTATTATTCTATAGCTATATGGAAAACCAAGTATAGGATTGATTTGATTCATGAGTAGGATTATTTTTTTAAGTTTATTATTTTCTGGCTAATAATATGGTATGTTTCTCTTTTGTGCTTTCCTGATGCTTTATTCTTATTTCTGCAGTACGTTTTGTAAATGTTATTCTACGGTTAGATATATACTCAAAATGTTTTTCCCCTGTACTAGTTCAACTAACATCTTTGTTTCACGAAATCAGTTTTCCTATCATGCATTTTAGTTTATGGTTTTACAAATGCTATGCCAGTCTTTTTAATATTCATATACATGCCCATAACATTAAGCTTATATGTATTTAGTGTAATTTCTAACAATTTTTTTGATGTAAATTGTATCTTACTCTCTTTTTACTATCAGCTTTGCACCTGTGTTCTGTATTTTTCTGTTCATTTTTGTGATTCAAGATTTTAACATCATTAAGTTGCAGATTTAAGTAACTTGAACACATTAAGTTCTGTATGTTTCTCGATTCATTCTTCTACGTTTCATTAATTTTTTATGGCTATTCTAGATCATCGATTCATTTTCATACTTTGTTAATATATTCTGTATTCTTCTTGTCGCCTTGGCTTTAGAAGTTTTCAGTACTTTAATAAAATGAACACGTTAATTTTTGAATAATTTTCTTTTAGTCTCTATTCGTTGCCACATTTTATCCTCTCATACTTTTGCTTTCAATATCTTCTTATACTTATACTTTTATGTTTGAAACAGACGCACTGTTTCTGTTTCTGTATTTCTTCATTTCCTGCAATTGCTTCTCTTCTTTTAATCTAAGCTTATTGATAAATATAAACCATTGTTTCTTTATTTGTCGCAAGTGTCTTCATTTGTCCAAATACACGAAGTAAGTTGTTTGTGATTATATTTAATCTTTCACTAAAAAAGTGATTCAAGCAATTTTTTTTTATTAAAATGAAATAAATTGAAGAGAGGCTCTTCATCTAGTACATACTGATACCCATATCGAAACGTTTACTGTTGCAAAGAAAACATCTTAAAATACGTTTAGAGATACATTCGTTTTTTTCATTTGTCATTTTCGTTTCTGAAACAATTAATGAAAAAACACAAAGTTGTGCAAATACGTACTGAATTACTCGCAAATAGAGATCATCATATAAGAATATAAAAGTTATACTGCCGCCATCTAGTTTAAAAAGTCCGCTTTTAATCCAAAGATCTAGACTATTTCTGTTTTTCTATCCAACTTATTTTTCAAATTAACTAATTTATGGAAAACGCGTTTTAAACCTTTGTGTAATTCTTGTTTAACACCAGATTTATAATTTTCTCTTGGTAAATTAATTCGTCTATTGCAATGTGATAAAAGCTGATACAAGCTTGTAGTGGATAATTGAAAATAAAGGTAAAAATGCAAGAAACGATCTAATCACAGGTATTAGAAACACGGAATACCGAATATGTGAAGGAGTGTTTTACTCGAATAGAAATTAATATATAATTAACAAGTATAGGAAATTGCAAGCAAATCCAAGGTAAAAAAAATGAAAGGCGTTACTTCATATCGTAGTAGTATTGGAATTTTGATTAATACTGCTGGCACATCTACTGAATATAATCGTATTACAGGAAAATAACTACTATCTGCATGCTCATCTAAAATGGAGTTTATTAATAACATTATAACACAATAAATAATGTCTGAACGTGAATGATTACCACGAAAGTATGTCTACTGGGCGAACTATTAATTAGAGGCAAAGGTCAACATATAGTAAAAAATCGAGTCGATCGCATTTTTGCCATTCATATTACATAATTTTCGTTTGTTGCCGTTTTTTTCGTGTGTTGATAGATCCCAATACTGTTGAGATAAAATCAAAGTCAAGGGTAGCACTACTTTCAATATCGTGCGGCACCGATTTCAGTTATCAGCACGTGTATTTATCAGGGTATTAGATATTTATTCCCATACTTATATTGGGTATGAGTATATTTTTACGCTTGATGTTAATTAACAATTTAAAACACACGTGAATTAATGTAGCGTTGACTCTTGCTTATCTTGTGTCCTTGGCTTCATGTAATCATCATCTGAATCAATGGCGTACTCTTCTTTAGCATTTTCGAATTTTGCGTTTCTTATGTTTATAAAGATTCTTAAAAAATACTTTGATCAATGTGAAGAAGTTTCTGAAACATTTCTTGTAATGCCCCGAGATTGACTTTCACTTCAGTGAAGATAGATGTGTGAAAAACTGAATATTAGCTACATTACAATTAGAAAACTCCATGAGTGACGATCCACTGATAATCTGGTTCATCTTGGAAAGTAGTATCCATTATGAAGTTACCAAATGGTGCTTAGAAAATCTTGATAGTATCATCCCTGAGGGGATCCATAGTATCGAGTAATAAAAGCATCTAACGATGATAACACCGTAAATCAAAATATCATAAATACTATATGGGAGTGCCTCAAGTATCGTCGCGTGGGCCAACCTGACTTCTCGTTATGGGTTGCAGTATTTCAGTTTTATCGGCCAGTTTGTTGTCTCGTTAATGGCCTGTGAGGCTCGAAACAATTATTTTTCCCGTTTGATTTTGCTGAAAGCGCATATATAGCCAGCCAGAGTGAGAATTTATTCCAAATGCCAAGACTTATTCTATTCTATCAATGTTTCTATTATATCTATGATAAGAATTGCAGTTATGACTAGACTGCAGGCATGGTTCTGGTAGTTAAATTTGAAATTTTCAATTCAACTTTTATATTTGCAGTCGTCGTTGCAAAGTGGATTGGGTTTTGTAATATATTTTCCTACTTTCTGCCCAGAGGCAAAATTAGGGGAAAACCACTAAGATCAAGTAGACAGCCTTACAAATTTACAAGTGTATAAACATTGTATTGTTTGTGTTAAAATATAGTCAGTTATTTAATGATTTTTCACCTTATCATTCAGTAGGCCGCTTTAAATGAGTCGAACGTATTAATTTGAGCTGTCTTCCTCTTTTACACTGTTTTTACTCTTACACGCCTTCAATCCTTCTTTCACTTCATTTATCTGTTTTTCTGCGTTTCAGCCTGAATGTTGGGTAAATGCTCCTTTCACTTTCAAAAGAGATGGGAGAGTACTACTAGTCCTATTACAACTCTTTTCATATACCTTCTCAGAAACGCACTTTTATTTCAAACTAAAGATTAATTATTGACACATTATTTTGTTCTGCAATTCTTGAAATGCAAGTTCAGAAATAATTTGCAATATTATGGTGGCATGTATAATGTGCGATTCAACGCATATGCCACACAAATAATTGAATTTCAGTAAAACATAAAAATTGAATAGACTTTTGCGCAACATTTTCTTGTTCTTTCCTTCCACTATTTCTTTCAACAATATTTAATTTTATATTGTTTCTATTCTTTTATTCTAAAAGTTTTCCTTTAGATTCATTGACATAACCCAAGGGCCTCGATGCAAAGAAGTTATTACTAAACGTGCTACTATAAATTATGTCTAAATGATCTTAAAGGTCAAATTTTTATAAATTCAAAATCTATTCAATTTGAAGTACTTCAGAAAGTCAGCTTCTTAGAAAATTTGTCACCGGTTCACTCAGCCTGAGCTTTTAAAGTACTAATTTGTTCTATCTTCCTACTTTTGTAATCTATTTACTCTTACACTATTTTTGTTCTTCACTTCATTAATATGTTTTGCTCTTCTTCAGCGTTCTGTTTCGCCTGCATGTTTGCTAAATATTTTTTCACTTCTACTAGTGATGTTTAATATTTCTTAAAGATAGAAAAGTAATAGTAAACGAAAAAACTCCTTAAATATTAATGCGGTTTAATAACTCAAATAGTTGTTCGTTTCTTTTGACTTTCTATTGCTCAGAAACGCACTTTCACTTAAAACTTAAGCTGATTTTTTGAGACAATATATTTTTCCGCATTTATTAACATACCTATGTTTAAATTGAGAAATATTTTGGCGACATGTAAAATGTATGCTTACAAAAATAATTGATAAAACGTACAAAGCAGTAAAATATAAAAATGGAAGGAACCGAAATTTGCGCAACATTTTCTTGTTCTTTCCTTTAACTATTTCTTCCAAAAATTTCTATTCCTTCTATTCATCTTCCTAAAGCGTTAGTGTTCCTTTAGACTCACAAATATAACTCGGGGGCCTTGATGCAAAAGAGATATCACTCTATAAGTCATGTTTAAATGATCTTAAAAATGAACTTTCATAAATTTAAAATATCTACAATTTGAAGCACTCCAAAAAAACACAAAACGTTCAACAAAAAAAAAGAACTAACTGAAGGATTGAAAAACTCCATCTTATGTATGCAAATGAACTCGTTATAAAAAACGTGAAACGATCTCGCTCACTAATATTTTAAGTGAATATAAAGGAACTTTATCACATAACCCCCCTAATAAATGCCCACATCAATTGCACGAAAAACACTGCAACCACCCAACCAATCAATCATACAAATCAACTAGGTTGCATAACTCTCTACAAAAGTAAAATAGGAATTTCCTTAAAGTTTTATCTAATGCCGGTCATCAAATAAGGTGAAAAGCAATACATTGTAGGCAAGGCGTTGTATGCGGCATTTTAGTTTTTTTTATCTGATATTTCCGCGCATCGCTTGTTTTGGGCTTGGTGCTGCTGCTCTACCCATAAAGCAACTGTTCTACACCAATGGCGTTATTCGTTTGGTAACGTGAAATTTAATTGGTCGAATCTTTCACAAGAACGTTAAAGACTGTAGTTGTGTTAATTGAGAAGAATGGCTTAAAGTTAATTTGATAGAATTTCACGTTTCCCAAGCAGAAAAATATCAAAGATAGAATGATTATTTTTAAAAAATGCTTACATTTCTAGAAACTATTTGATTACTTCAGCACCAGCAGTGTTTGTAACAAAATGACACATCAACAGTTTAATTCCTTAACTTGAAAAAGTTCGTTTGGCAAAAGTGAGGCAAGTTCCCTCATTACTTTAGGTATCAATACCCCAATAATTCACTGAGTAATTTAATCAAATGGTTCATGCTCAAAAAAAATCGGTACAGAAATACGTAAAATGTTGACTCTGTTCGGATTATTTTCGGGTTCATATTCAAGACCGAATACCAATCTTGCAAACTACTAATCAGTCTTTCTGCCGAAAGAGTATTATTGCGGACAAAACTGATTATACAAAATAAAGTACAATTATCCGTAAATTAAATTAGATAGGTATATTAAATGCACTTTGATATGCGGGCATGTTGTAAAAGCTTGTAACTATCAAAAATGTAAGTTTCCCATGCGTTTAAAAGACCGTAGACATTCAGGAGTTTCAAATAAAAACCCAATTTTAAGACTCAAATAACACCTAGTATGACTTCATTCCACACCTAGTTATGTGTTCCTTTCAATAGCTGTCTCTATTCACTAATGTAAGTTTCTAACTCGATTTAAACCGATATTTTTAACTGCACATCTTAACCACAAATAGAACCAGAGCACGTGTCTAACATTAAATTTTAAGAAGAAAACTAATTCCTACTCTTCATAGATAGATTATGAAAGGGGATAATCTAGAAAGCTAATTTTAGATTAATGTTCAAGAACTTTGACAAAAATGAATGTTCAAAAGATATAGAAGCTTGACAATTATCTGATGTTTGCTTTCTTCGAAATCCTGTAGAAATATTTGTTGTTGTGTTCCTATGGATTTTTAAACATTTTTAGTTAATAAAAATGTTTTGTGCAATTGTCATAAGTTACCTTTTAGATGTAAGTTAATAAAACTTTAAACTATTGTAATTTGAATGATGTAAAAACTGTACATTTTGTTAAAAATATGTTTCGTACTATTTCGTTTACAAATAAGTACTGTACGTAAACGCGCACCCTCACTGCCTTTAGTACCTATGAAATACTTTGTACATTTCGTCCATCTCGATAATAATTATTTAGAGTCTATTCTGCATATACTGCCTTATATTGCAAATGTACAAGCAAATGTGTATTGCTCTATTACGTGCAGTATCTGCAGAACTCGGTACTTACAAAGCGAAAATTGTGATTTTTGAAATATTAACGTCCCGCTTTTTCAAACAAAAATTTAATTTAAACAGAGCAGTTTGGTATTTGCGAAATAATGTGTCATTTCATACCAATTAGCGTCCTAATTTATTCAACGTCATCGTTCTTCTAACTCATAAACAGTTAATAACTGGACCCACCAATTTTTGCTTCCGCCGACTCAAAAATAATGTAATTAAGTTTTTTTAGTCAAATGTGGTTACCAATTTGTACATTTTTTTTTGTTAAAATTAGTCACTGTCTAGCTTAAATACAGTTTAATTAATTTTTTAGGAGATTTGTAAGCTTCCTTGCATTTTTGGCAAGGTCCTTCCTTGAATTATTTGTAATACTTTTGCAATCTATATTTAATCTGTATATTTAAAACGTTTTATAGTTTAGTTATTTTGAATAATAAAATTTTAAAGTTAAACTTGGCCTTTGTTGTTTGATTTCTATGGAGGTGATGATGTGCAATAATGCATGAAGAACTATTCTTATTGCGAAAAGCATTTCAGGGAAGTAATTCGTCCAATGAATTCAGTTTTGTGTGTGTTTAGGGAAATTTCGTTACTCAATGAAATCTGAAAGTCTGCAAATCTGTTAAGTGACTTGTTGAGAGAATAATTTTGAGCTGATATACATAGACACCAATAGAACTTTCGATGTATATCGCCACCAGAAATATTAAAGCTGCAAGTTGCGAGGAAATTATCAAAAGTTTTTAGCAATTTTTCAATTGATTGCTGTTAAGCACAGTTGCAAGCCCCAACTCATTATTCAACTTGCTGCAAAGTTACGCATTCTGCATAGAAATTCCCGAACTTGTCCGGTACTGGCTCTTATCTTGAACAGTAGTTTACGTTAAAGTGGAGTATCTTGTAGACGGGAACTCAGATGATCGTAAGATAGTAAGAGTGCCTATATTTTGTGGCTATTTAAATAAAGTGGCTGCGTAAGTGGATGTTTGATTATTCATAGACAATAAAATTAGTTGAAATTTGAATAGGTGGCAGTTAAACAGACAATTTGGAAGTCGATAAGATGGAAATAGCTTTATTTGCTTCGAATCTGACCACTGTGTCAGCTTGAGAATGTGAATTAGAAGAATTTTGATTTTTTAAGTCACAATGAAACGGAACTTATTTTTGTACACAGCTTGATGGTTGATATGTGCAAAGGGATTTGGAGCTGGAAGTTTAAAAAAGAACTAGGTACTAAAAATAATGAATTAGTGAATGGTGAATAAATATCCAGAGCTAACGAGAAATTGCAATAAACATCAGAAGAAGCAAATTGCGACTGGAATAAATGAGATCTAAAGCCGCCTGCGGGATATAGTGGGTGGTCAATACGCCCTTTACCTTACCCAGAACACCGGAGCTTCAACAATCACTAGCAAGGAATTAGCGATAACATATTGTAGGAAAAGAGGCAGATATAATTAGAGAATTAAGGATGATGGCAATAAAGTTGTTTTTAAATAAAAGTCGCCCTATTTTTCATATATATTATTGAGGATCAAGGCCGTACAGATTCTGAAACAAAAAATTTTGTGTGCAAAAATTTTTTTTTCAGAGAAAATGGATATTTTAATAATCTAAATTAATACTTATCAATAGACAATCAAATGTTATTAAATTGCTGTCATTTCTAGTACATATCAACCGAAATGCATATTCAGCCAATTAAACAATTTTTAAAAAGTTTCAATTTAACAATATTACACCAACGGACATTTACTTGTCTCAAAATCCTTATCACCCTGTATAATCTCATTTAAACATGCAAATTTGCGACTATAAGCAAAGTTGGGCCGCCTACTGGTCCAGCCCAACATGGGCAGCACATGTTCAGCTGAAAGATTATCTGGTCCAGATTTATCTTTATTACTTCCTCAGACATTAGGAAGACGTATAAATTCGGACGATGCCTTGCGATAACTGAACAAAGTTTTATTTGGATACTGTCTTGGAAAAGATGATATCGTGTGTAGGATGGAAAGATTCTGGTTAGCTTGATATCACTGAAAAGAATGACTGAAGCAGACGGCTGGCAACTGCGAAAATTTCAGATGTATTTAGACAAGTTTATTTCAATTGTATGCAGGCAATGTTGACTAAGCCATAATGTAAGGCAAAAACTAGTCGCGGGCTTAGTTTGAAATGACAATTTAAAATTGAGAAAATTTCACGTTGATTTTGGTTTGAAAATGAGCGCTGGACGGAAAAGTTAAAATGCAACAAAATGTATATCATGTGGATCGTCCAAGAGCGATTAAATCAAAAGGCTCGTAAAGAAGCAAGCTATATTTTACGACAAATTTGGGTTTTCACAGACTGGGTTTTCACAAACCGCAGGAACTTAAATGCTTGTTAAAATTAACAGGTAATAAATATGATAAGCAAATGATAGTCATAATACAAAATCTGGAATCGCTCACTCACATCAAACGAAAAGAATATATTTATATTATTTTTTATAGCCTATTTAGGCTTTCAAGATCTGTGTTGTTTTGCAAAATTTAAAAATCTCATAAGCAAAGATTTTGTTTTGTTTTCTCTATCAATAGGTTAAAAATATGTTTTAAAATTGTGTTTCTACTACTGCAGTTAAGAACGTAGAAAAATGTTCTTAGTTGATTTCTTGTGTTACATTTTCTCCTAAAGCAATAAGCACAAAGTTATTAAAATGGTGCGTACGTTTTACCGCATTTGATGTCGCGGTATATGAATTTTCAGTGGCACAAATCCTCCCCATTTACTTCCAGAAACTAAGAAGAAACCAGAAGGACTAATATTGTCTGAATATTCTGAAAATAAACACTTGTTCAGAGAAACGATATTTTGAAAAGGCCGTTCATGTCACAATGAAAGTCTGATTGAATATTAATGAAGCTCAAGAACCAATCAACGAATGAAACACTTAAGTCAAAGCAACAAAAACTAAAAAAATTAACACCTGAAGGTGAATTATAAAGGAAAAAGCCGTTAATCAAGTAACGAAATAGCATCCAATTTCTAGCATCCTTTGCACCTGTACAATAAATATCGGTAGACATTGACCCATTTTAGTGTAGAAATTAAAGGCGCCCAAAATGATAATCTAATTAACCTCTTTGTTTCAAGCCGAAGCTCTCATGCCGGAGCTTTCAAAAACAAATTTGCGCTGAATCTCCTGGATCATTAATCATCT